TTAATGTAGGGAAATATTGTGTATCCTATCTGGTTCACCGAGGCTGAAGTCCTGGCATTCAGCATAATGCCTGAGTGCCTTTGGGATATATCTAATGGTTAATGTAGGGAGATGTTGTGTATCCTTTCTGGTTAATCCAGGCAGAAGTCCTGGCATTCAGCATTAAATGCCTGAGCGCTTCTGGGATATAGAACATACTTAGTTTTTCATTCATGGTTAATATAGGGAAATGTTGTGTATCCTTTCTAGTTCACCCAGGCTGAAGTCATGGTATTCAGTGAAATGCCTGAGTATTTCTGGGATATATAACATACTTAGTTTTTTGGTCATGGTTAATATAGGGAAATGTTGTGTATCCTTTCTAGTTCACCCAGGCGGAAGTCATGGCATTCAGTGTAATGCCTGAGTGTTTCTGGGATATATAACATACTTAGTTTTTCGGTCATGGTTAATATAGGGAAATGTTGTTATCTTTTCTCGTTAATCCAGGCTGAAGTCCTAGCATTCAATGTGATGCCTGAGTGCTTCTGGGATATATAACATACTTAGTTTTTCAGTCATGGCTAATATAGGGAAATGTTGTGTATCTTTTCTGGTTAATCCAGGCTGAAGTCCTGGCATTCAATGCAATGCCTGAGCGCTTCTGGGATATGTAACATACTTAGCTTTTCATTCATGGTCAATAAAGGGAAATGTTGTGTATCTTTTCTTGTTCACCCAGGCTGAAGTCCTGGCATTCAGCATAATGCCTGAGTGCTTTTGGGATATATATAATGGTTAATGTAGGGAAATGTTGTGTATCCTTTCTGGTTAATCCAGGCTGAAGTCCTGGCATTCAGCATTAAATGCCTGAGCGCTTCTGGGATATAACATACTTAGTTTTTCATTCATGGTTAATATAGGGAAATATTGTGTATCCTTTTTGGTTCACCCAGGCTGATGTCCTGGCATTCTGTATAATGCCTGAGTACTTCTGGGATATATACCATACTTAGTTTCTTTGACATTCACAAGTTGATCAAGGAAAGTGTTGTGTATCCTTTTTGGTTCACCCAGACTGAAGTCCTAGCATTCAATGTAATGCCTGAGCGCTTTTAGGGTATGTAACATACTCAGTTTTTCATTTATGGTCAATATAGGGAAGTGTTGTGTATCCTCTCTGGTTTACTCTCGTTCATCCAAATTTGTAGCTCTGAATAAGGGCGACATAGGAACCCTTTCTTTTCTAGCATTCATAACATTTTAAACTCTGACTACCTTAGATGAATATGTTAGGAGAGATTCTTGCTTGAAGAGTTAAATTACACCGGTGCATTACCTTGCCTTTTTATATGGCTGGCTTCGCAAGCGATGCAAGATGCAGCAAATTCTGTGAGCTGATTGGCTGTTAGCCCTTCCTTTTTTTTTTTTTTTTTGTTTTCGACGGTGGCCAGCATGGCAACCATTTTGTCCTTGTGTAACCTGCAGGCAACCCTGTTAAAGTTAAAGGGAGTTTAAACTTGTTCGTACCGTGTCAATAAATGAAAATTGGTCTTCGTCTGTTTAAACTCATTTCTCCTTCCTCCCCTTTCGCATTTTTCAGCTACACATTGCACGCCTAAAAGTTTTTCATATCGTAAGCTTTGTCAGCTTGTTTAACATCAGGTTTCTTGATTTGAAAACAATTGTCTCTACCCTCGGTCTATGTTTATTCACGATTTTTAATCATCGTTGCCGAAGAGCCTCCTCTGAGGTAGCGCAAAAAGATTTTCAACACCATTGCCTGAATCAAATCGTTTCTATGTTCGAAATCTGTCGCAACTATCTCAAGGATTCCGGCACCAATATAGATCATCTGAAGGCTATGAGTACTGTATGAATATAGTTTAAGAAACTGGAACAGTGTGTAAACTATAAATGCGACATACAAAATATCAGTGAGAAAGAGCCGCCATGTATTGTGGACTCTGCGTTAAACAGCAAAAGAAAATATAGGTTGTATTCCGCCGAGTTCATTCCCAATAACTGGTATCATGATGCTCAAAAATTGCACGCACCAAGCGTCACCCGTGGAAGATTCCAAACTCAACAAGTGGAGCAGTAACGGAAAGAAATCGTCGGTTCAGGTATTTAGGTAATTTAGTGTTAACAACTGGGTTGAAAACGTAAATTAGCCACCGTAAAGAGTAAAAAAGCTGACGTTTCGAGCGTTAGCCCTTCGTCCATCGCTCTGACGAAGGGCTAACGCTCGAAGCGTCAACTTTTTTACTCTTTACGGTGGCTAATTTACGTTTTCAATCCAGTTGTTAACACTAAATTACCTGCTATACTCTCCCACCGACGCAGCACCACAGTTTCTTTAGAAACTTACCCCTTGGTTCAGGTATTTATTTTGTCTCCGGTCCGAAAACAAAAATCGGATAAAAATTGATTAGAAAACAAAATACTCAGGCCGTCAGTTAAATGTCGTGTTAAATAAGCGTCGCAGCCTATGTTAGTATTTACGGAATCGACTAAATACGCAGGCATTGACTAAGAAATGTTTCTGCTACGTGACTGTATCATTAGCCGGCAACTCGCTCCGGGTGAGTGCTTTGTCTCATCACCATTTTTAAGGCTGGTTTTCACTTGCGACGGAGTCATAGTCGAAGTCGTAATCAAAAGCGTAGGGCGATACGATCTAGTGACAATCAAACCGGCGGAGTCGGAAGCAGAACACCGATTCTGCCTATGACTCCGTCGGTTACGATCTAGTGAAAACTGCAATGAGTCGGAAGCGGAAGCGGAAGAATAAACCAATCACAATGCTCGATTCCAGGCCCGCGAAAGTACAAATTTTGGCGCCAAAGACAACATGGCGGACGAAGAGCAACCTGTGCTTCGGCTCTTATTAATCATTATTTTGCGCAGGCAGAGACAATACAGGAATAATATCGTTTGAAAAAGAAAGCGATTTTGGGTTCGTGATATCTATCGACGTCGAGCAGCTTTGGGAGAGTATGCTAACCTCGCCAGCGAACTACGACTTAGTGATCGTGAATTCTACTTTCGGTAGGTTTCGAGTATTTTAACTTTTAATTTCGTAATTTTACAGTCAAGCTCACACGTTTAAATGTTTCACGGCTATTTGTGCATTTTGGCCAGAAAATTATCTGAAGGTATTTGTGTACATGATTCTTCAGTAACTCCTGTGAAGAGAAGCGTCTTTGATTTGATAAGCTCAAATGAGCAAAGTAACATTTCCAACTGCCCATACCACACCACACGTAAATAAGTAAATAAATGTATTCTGGGTCCCGGTATGTCCACGTCATCATACATTAACGTGCTTTATCATACATTGACGCACTTAATCATACATTAACGTCAATTGTTATTGTTAAAGAAAATTTGATCATGGAGCGGGTCAAGGTCTTTTCAGTTTCGTCTTCTATTCCCGAGCGCTTTCCCTTCACGTTCACCATTACGATTCTTTTCACGTCAAATTAAAACAAGGGGTTGCTTAGATATTGATAGATATTAGTGTGCTGTCTTTTGATAATTCGGTCTCTGATAAACCAAACATTGATATAACCGCATAAAATCGAAGCATTTCGTTCGCATGATCAAATAATCACAAAAGGAATTAGGATGAATTTAAGTGATGGTAATGGGATATTTCTTTCTCTTGATTAAGTGCATCTGTTAATTCTAAACCTCGCGACTGCGTCAAGAAAATTATCGAACATGTGGTCTGCGCGAACAATCAACAAGAAGAAACATATATGTTGGCTTCTTTTCCTTCAACCTTCCGGTAATTCACTTGTTCTAAGAAAGACAACAATTTGTAGCGAGGCAATCAGCAATTACAACATGTTTTACTTGTTGTCTATTTTTTGTTGTAAGGAACTAAAACAAATCATCCTTCGTTGCTGACACGTACTCCTGCTTCAAGACCGAGTTCGCGAAAATCGCTGTCAGTCATTGCAAAACTGTCTAAGAAGATGAGATTTCACTTCTTTCATCGCTACTTCCTTACCCTAAAGATTAAAGCTTTCGATCGTTAATCTGACCTTGTATGCTATAAACTTTCTAGAGCAAAATTAAAATTAAAAACTTTTACAGATCATTTTTTCTTATTGAGAAAAAAAACCCATCGACCACTGATGACTAAGTAGTAAAGAAGAATTAAAAAGGCATTAAAAGTCGTAGACATGTTAGTCGCTGTGAAGATCTAGACTGAAGAAATTCAAGCGTGACAAGGTACAATGTATCAAAATAAAAGGAACAGTGAGAACTTTTCATTACTAAAGCAATTTATAAGGTTTAGGGATCACATATCAAAAGCTAACCTGATAAAGTGGAGGAGAAGCAAGAAAGAACTTGCTAATAAGGCGACCTGTTTTCAACATTCTGGCTGAATGTAGAGATAAAATAAACTTGTGTGACCTGAATGGGATAATTTTCCTCTGAAACTTAAAACGTTGACTGAGTGGTAAAAGCAAGTTCAATAATCATTGAGAAATGCATATATATAGTCATATTATACTTCAAATAGATCATTTAGTCGACATGAAGAAAAGTTGAGCTAACCAAAAACATCACAGAATGTTAAAGAGGAAGTAGAGGGGTATTTCTGTTACACTAGACTTCTGCAGCGACTGAACTTGACCTCTTCCAAAATGGTTTTAGCGCGGACGTGTTAGCTGGAAGAGAAGATTTAGTAACATTCGCTGAAGCAGAAAGAAGGACGTGTACATGTAGGCACAAACTGAAGAGAGATCTTTGACAACTGGTTTCAACGTTTTCATTTAGTAGTCAAACCCATTCAAAACCAAGTTTAGGATACCAAGTATAGTAAATATAGTAAGGCTCTTCTTTATAAGTTATAAGAAGGCTCTATGAAATGAAATAACACAGGGTGACCCTGTTAGCTTCGAGAACGTGCCTCATCTGTTGTGATCAGGAGGACATGTTGCTTTTACTTCCTAGTAACGAGTACATATAAATGAGAGGCGATTTCGTCCAAGACAAGGAACAAGATTAGTTTCGAAAAGATACAGTGAAGACCAGGGAAAGATTCTCTCTTCGATTGAACGAGCTTAAACACGGTTGGTAATTTTTTTTTCCCATAATTAACTTATACGCCTCTTTTAGCAAACCTTCTACAAAATCTTCGACATCTTCGCAAATATAGCATTAATATCATCTGATGTGCTTCAGTTTTTTCTTTCAGGGTTGTTCAATAATCATAACAGCTGTTGCTTTTCTTCTTTGCCTTTCATATTCAAGTGCATCACCGGTGAGTTTTATAAATTGTGAGCGATTAAGAATTCTGTTGCATTTTGATAGTGACTCTGGTGGAAATCTGCCAGCGTAACAGTTCTTTGTTTTTACTGAGATTTTTTAAACGATTTCGCGGTTTGAGCAATATCCCTAAGCTAAACCTTTCAGAGAAAAGTTTTGTGAGAGTGAACGCACAGTCGTTCTTAGGCATAGGCGATAGAGGATGGTGACTGGGCATGCTTAATTACACCTTTTTATAACTCAAATACTGATTTGGACTTTAGGCACAAATTGCGTGTCATAAAAATTTGCAACAGAAGCCAGGGAAAGCTGGTTACACTGATGAAGACATTTCCGTATTTTAGATCTGAATCGCCCTTACGATCTGTGATTCTCCTCCTGTTTGCATTGTCCTTTTTGGATTTTTATCTCAATGACCCTCTGAAATACATAGCTCTTTCTTGTTCCTTTTAAAAAACCCTTTTTTCGCCTCTGCAAGTGATATTGGTTTTTTCACCTCGCCACTCAACTACATTTAGACATTTTTGAAATTCTAATTTTTATGGAGTACCTTAATGAATGTTTCTATTTTTGCGCTGATGTAGTTGCTTGATATGGAAACAAAAGTTACGTGATTTATTCTTTAAATTATCACAGTTCTAATAATAGTAAACACTTCTTCCAAGGCTTTTATCCCAAAAAGCCAGTGACAATAGAATTTCTAGCTTGAAAAATCCTGAAAGTATACATTGCGAAAAAGTTCAGGACGCACGGTTCATACAATCACCAATCCCAGCACGGCCACTGTCTAATAATAGCCATGATAAGACTTTTAAAAAATTTGTCTACATCTACTGACTGAGATTCGATGGATGAGTTCTTACGTACTCTGTTCTGCCATTCGTAAAGCCTTTGGAACATAACAATGCATGCTTTTCCTTAACAGAGGTTATCACAGAATCCTCCACCTTGCATTCTGAATCTGTATGATCCATCAATACTAGGGTTTTGAGCGAGCCCTCCCTCACTCCATCACTGATTATCGTACTAAATTTTTACAGGTTTCTGACAGGATCTCTACCAACCTTGAAGTGCATAGGCGCATAGGTAAATAAAATAATTTTTGATTTGATTAAAATGTAATAGTGAAGTTATTAAATCTGATGCAGTCAGTTGTAATAACCCAGGAGAAACAGATGTTTATTAACATGGTGAAGTCTGATCGCTTGTGTGAGAGTATAGTCCTCAAAGGACTATTGCTGATAGCGGCGAGCCTCTTGACTCTGACTTTGATGATGACTTCCGCTTACGTTTACTCTGACTCTGACTTACGCACGACTCTGACTATAATGGTGACTTCCACCAAGGTTGTCAAACCGTCAGTCATTACGGCCACTAATGGTCCCTCCCAGGACTACTCTTATATGAATGATCAGACTGCCCGATCAAATAATGCATTACGAATCGTCATTTTTTTCCCTGTTATGCAGCATTTTATGACTTTAGGACACTATTCATGTCGTTTCCTTAATTCGCTACCACCCACACTATGTTCTCCGGTTTATGAATTCTCCTATCTTTAATTATCGAGTTATTCTTTTTTTTCAATGTCTTTCCTTTTTCTTTTTTGTAATGAGGATATGTAATTAATTGTTCATTTACATACTTGCCAATTATTTCATGAATGTAATGAATTTTAGTTGTCATATATCTAAAGAGTAACCTGGTAGCCATCGTTATCTTCTTTATTTCTAACAGCCAGAGGCTTTCCAGGATTAAAATTTTGCAGCTCAGGACAAATACCAACTAAATGCTGGGCCCATCAGTGGATGTATTTGTGCCACTTTAAGGACTACTGGTTACGATGCAAAATCGACTCTAGCAAGCCTAAATTGGCCTGTCCTGTTCGTAATAACTATAATTATGGCAGTCTGGAATGCTGTGACATTTATTGCCCTTAGATGTTTGTGTTGAGACGTTTTAATTTTTTTTTTTTATTTAAAACAATCAAGTTTCGATACAATATTCAATTCCTAGCTTTAAGTTTTTTTTATCTGTGTTTCAGTTTGTTATCATCCCATATTAAAAGTGAACCTGAGAGGCTTTGGAAGAGGATAAAGTAGAATAGTGGAGTAAAAGAGAATAGTAGAATGTATAATTTCAGCGCCATATCTCCCCTCCATCCACTTTAAATTTGTACGCCGACCATGAAAGTTCATAAACCATCGATACACATCTTGATATTGTGTGGTAGTAAACAGATTAAGATTAAAGTTGTAGACGAAGATTTATTTGCGCTTTTTTCGACCTCGTCAAGTCCAGACAAGCTTTTTAACTTCAACTGAATCGTTCAAATTATTTTCAATATCTATTCAATATGGATAGTTCAGTTCAGTTCGAATTTTTGTCTTTGTTACGATGATAGCGTCATTCTATATAGCAGAAAGGATGAATTTAAAAAAATAAATGAACTCTTGGTTCATTTCGGTTGCAGTTACAGTTAATTTGTGCGCATTTTCTTTTTTTATTATTATTATTTAACACCACTCTGGGAACGTTTGTCGAAAAAAATGTAACCTTAAAACTATGCTTCGTTTCAATTCTATCTTCTTTGAAGTAACGTTACAAAGTACAATAACCACGTAATGGTGAGATAAGCTTTTTTTAGGTCATTCTCTCTAGACCTTCTGTATTTAGAGCAAGCAGTGCATGAGCTGAATGATGCTATTGCCTCTGTTAACAAGCTAGCGACCACGTTACCCCAGACCGCCTACATGCAGAGTTATGACCGCGACGTTAGTGCTATCCAACACCTGTTGTTTTTTGCCATACTCCATCGCTGCAGGTCTTTCATTCCCGCCTGCGCTCCTTACGTTTAAAGTGAGGACCAGCTCGCAAGCGTTAATCCCACTCTTTAGGCCCAGTGGCTCAGCAGGCTAAGACGGCTGTAAGGTCCGTAGGGCTGTAGTTTTTATATCAGAGTTGGCATCTTCTGGCTAAAGAGCCCGCTGTCGGAAGAACGACGGCTATTTACCCATAGCTGGAGCACGGATAAAGGTCCATCTGTCATGTCCTTGAACTTAGGGTCATTGCACGACTGAACTGCCTATTATACCTGGTCTGGGACTCGTTATTCACTGGCAAGCAAACTTACTTAGAGCTAACTTTCACTGAAGGCCTTTCACTATGGGATGGTCGCCACGGATTTGCCCAGAGTCCCTGTCTTAGTCTAACGCTTTTAAAATAAATGCATATTGTTTGACTTCCACAGTCCTGGTGTGTTATCCAATGCAATTTTCCTGCCCCACCTCGGTTCAGCGTTGTCTCTTTCACTTGAACTTCGCTGAAATCAACCAAAAGATAAAGACTGCGTTACATATGTCACGTTACCTAATTTACATCAAGCCTCGCTTTGACTATCACTTCTCAGAAAGAAAGCGGAAGTGTTGTCCTCAATCTTCGAGGAAGGGATACCTAGCTTTTAATCGGCTGTAAGATTTGTTTTGCTGTCTTCTTCAGTTCTTTCGATTGGCAAATTAATTACAGGTTTGATTGTTTTCTCGGAAAGGGAGGTTTCAGTCTGAATGAGTGCCCAGTGCTGTTGAGGTAAGCGATTTGATATATCGCAGGAACATAGAACATGTAAACGGAATTTCACCATTGCTTGACCGGATTACACCAAAGTTTACAGCGTTTTGCCGGATTTATGCTTGTATTTCCGTACAGAAAGTTGCTTTATTGCTTCTTTTTAGATTTTCATATCGTTGAGCTTCAATCGTTATGATTTATTCCCTGCTTCTCGCAGAACGGGAATAAGTGGCAACGTTTTCGATGCACGCCACGTTTCGCTTGTTCATATGATTTGTTCAAATAAATAAACTTAACGATCAAGAGATCATTTGGTTAAGTTTACATTCGGTTAATAACCATAATTTGTGCGTAGGAATCAAAGTTTAAGCTCCCTGACTCGAAACTTTCATCTGAAAGAAAGGAGAAGTAGAATTATCTGTGTACTCGTTGCTGCATTTAGTTCTTCACTCATACATGAATGCATGTTTCGAGCCCTTATACCGTTAAATATCTCTGTTTGAAGCCCGTGAAATATTAACAGAATCTACCGTGAGGGTACTTAACTTAAGGTCGGAAAGGCTTCAGTGGAGATTATTTCGAAAGGAACAACTCTAAATTTCAATAGTTTTGATACACTCCTTGAATAACATGACATGAAATACTATTTCTTTTCCTTTGATGCAATTCCGTATTGATGAGGGCTTATATTTTCGACTACAGTAAGTAATTTTTGTCAGTCCAGGAGATTAAGCTCGACAGGTTTATGGTTAATGGTGTAATTTTTCCAAATGAATTTTTTATAAAATGAAGTTCATTGAAAATGAAAACAGTTGAGACGAGAGTAACCTAAGGGAAAACCCCTTCAAATGATCTCATCTTGTCAGTCATTTTTAATATATTCACAGAGACTCGCGTTGCGCTTAAAAACGTCAGGATCATGGAAATTTCCCGGAACATTCCGTAACATCAATAACATGTAAGAACTATGAGATAAATACGTATAATTAAATAATTCAGCGACTGAAAAAGGGAAATGAACTAATCAATTGATTGGTGGCTAAATAAGTTAAAGAAAAACAAATGTGGAGATAAAATCCTATTAACTCGGAATTTGCATACAACAAAAATGCAGACGACTTTAATGAGTGAAGTTTGTTTGTTGATATGTTTAGAGAGAGGTTTTTGCTTTTTCGTTTGTCGATGGGAAGTGTATCCATCACTGAGGGAAAATAAACCCCCTCCCCTCTATGAGACATTTTTATTTTGTCATAACATACAAATCTTTAGTACGCAGGTTTGTGGAAAGCAAATCTTTACAGCATATATATATATATTTCCAGTTTTAGATATTTCATTGAATGGTCCTTCTCACACCCTGAAGACGAACAGGCTGACACACCAGGAATAGCAACAGTACAGCCTAGGATCTGAGGAATCCAGGATGGAAGGTAAGTTGTTATCCACAACAAGAACTAATATAAGTAGCGGTCCAAATATTTGCTATTTTAAGCACTGCTTAGCATAAGCCTCTGACTTAGTACAGATTATTCAAATGATGGCTTGATGCCTAAAGTTTTTCTTGGAAACGGAATGGAACAAATACCTAATGAGAACACAAATGATGGTAAATTTTAAGCCAGGTCATCGAAAGAGACTTTTTTTTTCACTGAACCATCTCTCTCTTATTCATTAGCGTACCGAACGCTTTTGACAATGCTAATCCTAGAAGTGTTTAGAAACTTTGTCACGCATGAAACCCAATAACCTGAATGGCCCTTCTCACCATAGAGTCTCTGTAGCTTAGTGGTAGAGCATCAGAGCAGAGAAACTTAAGGGCTTGAGCTGTGATTCCTCGTGAGGGACCCTGTTTTTTTTTCGTCGCATGCTCGTGACTAGTAGAATAAGATATTTCTTTACCCACTTAATAAACGCTTGACGAGTTTTGACTATTTACCCGACATGAAAGGTTAAAACTGTAACAAACCTATACCAATTTTGGTCGATTACTTTTATGTGCCTGTACTAATATCAGAAACTCGAACAAAATCGAGCGATTACCTTACATGTATTTCCTTAACGATGTCATTTCTTCTTAAAGAAAATGACAAAAGCAAGAGCTCCCCGGAAAATGATCAAGAGAAGGACAAAGAAAGTGCTAACTCGACAGACGAGAAGCGTCTTCAGGGTAACTCTTTCGCATATCGGTCTGAACGAGACACATGGCAGGTGGTTGGGCGAGGTCAGCGTTCCATACCACAGAGAGAAGTCGGTAAGAATTACACTTCTTGATTGAAGTCAGACGGCAGTTTTTTTTCAAGACTTTTTCATGGCCAAATATGGCTCAGTAGGGGCTAATTAAGCTCCAGTTCTCGTTGCAGTCACATTGCTTTGGACATTGTGCGCGTCCATACACTTTTGAACGCTGAGGCAACGGTTTTGGTGACAACTCGGAGATTGATAACCAGATAATCGAACTGAGTGACACTTGACCTTAAAATTCAGTTCCTTTAATCCACATGACCAAAATTCTGACTTCCTCGTCCTAAAAACCGCTTTTGCACCAAAACGTTTCTTTATTTGATATTTAATTCATGTCGCATACAGCTTGAACCTTACAACGCAGTCAAAAAACTTGTTCTCTCCACTGATGAAGGACTGAGCCTAAAATATTTCGATGCCATAAATCAAAACATAACAACGTTTCAGCTTCATTCATTCCCCTTAATAAAATTATCATATTGTATTTCACCATAAGAGCAAAGAGGTGGACGCTGTAACAAAAATGCAGTGGAGACGCCTCGTGGAAAACCTTCCTTAAGAGTTCAGACACATCGACCAGATGTTCAACAGAGGGAAGGTAATAAGGGGGGGTTTTCAGGGCGTGGCGACCGCGGCCGAGGGAGTAGGGGAAAAAGAGGACAGGGTTCGGGTGCTTTTCGAGGAGGACATCAAGGGAGAGGAGCTCGAGGTAGGACACTATGTTGCCATTGTTAATTTCCGAGTGAAACATATCATCGTCACTCTAGACATTTTCATCACTCAGCTTCGAGCGCTGGGTCGGGTTGATTTGATGAGTTCTTGGTCAAGACTCTACTGGGTGGGCCAGTCCGCGACGAACTCATTCTTCGGAAAAGCAATTCCTTTGGGTAAAACAAAAAACCATGCTTATGTCTTTCCACCCGTTTTTACTGGTTTTGATGTTGTTTTATTGCAGGGCCTGGTCACCAAGTCGGAGCAGTGCCACGTCAACGCTCCGATCCAGTTTCTTTAGGATTTACACAGCCAGATATCAAATACGAGTGGAACAAGTTGTATATTCTGGGCCTACATTTCAGGTCAACACGAGATGCTGTGAAGAATTACATAGAACGAATTAGTGGTTATGATGTTAAGAACGTGGAGTGGTTCAAACCTAATGGTAAAGCAATAGTAACGCTAAACACTGACAGAATTGTAGGTAAGTGGTAATGACTGCTTTCCTACAGCCCCAGTTTATTCTGATCATATTCACACCTTTCAAGCTTTGGGCAGGTTCAAACACTTCCTCGTGGGTAGACCATCATAGATTGTGCCAGTAAATGTAGCATATTATTCTAATAGGATCGCCCGATTTGTTTGCACATAATGCTCAAAATTATGTTAGTTTTTTAAAATTATGCTACTTTTTCTTTAAGAACACTTTTCAAAAATAGAAACAATAATAATTTCAAATTATATATACATATATTCTTAATAAAGCATGATATCCTCGTGATCTTGAGTTACACACTTGCTCTGATAAAACACAACTTACTACGGTACTTCATTCCAGACTAGACACAGAGACTAGATGTGTCAAAGTGTGCGATGTTGATATCACATTAGTTATGTTCTGATGATGTCAAAAAATACTAAATGTGATACAACCGTTCTAGCATATCGGATGGCAGTTCTTCTTCCCGTATCTAAAAGTGGTTCGATGCCATCTAGTTGCCTGAGAAAACGGGAACTGCAAAAAATTATGCTCGTTTTCCAAATATGCCAAAAATTATGTAAGCACAATCTATAGTGGCCTACTTGTAAGGGAGAGGGGGGATCGGGTCACGTCGAGGAACGACATTTTTACTGAATCAAACTAGATGAGAAATATAGGTTAATTACCTTGATTTCCCAGGAGGACCGGCCGAGCATGCCCTTATTCAGGTTGGGCTTTTTGAAAAACTATTCCTTGCAATGAGTTTCTTTCCTTAGCAGTCTTTGATTTGAAAGTAACTCGTGGAAACTTACTGGCGATTTTTTTCAGATTTTGCAAAGATTGTTCAAGAATCGAAGAGAAGGCCGCTTGAAGGTGTAACCGTCTCAATTGAAAGAGCTCCTGAATGTAAGAGCATCTTTGTGAGCGGATTTTCTGAAAATACAACAAAAGAACAAGTGGAAGAGTACTTTGATGCTTTGAGTTCATTAGAAGATGTTGTATTCAGTCCATGGGATGAGAAGAGAAAAGAGAAGAGAGCGATTGTATACTTCAAAGAAAAGAAAGGTAAGTCTCCCGTATTTATTTTTTCTTAAGTATTTTTCTTAATAAGTACGTATTTTAGTAGCTGTGGAAATGTTCATGTCTCCCCGTTATTGTTATTGAACAACTCTCCCTTTGGTCTTTAAGGGCACAAATGATTTTCTCTGGCCTCAACATTTCGAACAAAATGATAGCTGCGTGGAGTGCTGTAACATCGTACTTTCTGTCCTCGTTAGGTTTAATTTGCTTACAGTGTATTCCCAATAGAATCACTGCCGCAGAAAAGTGCTGAAATTTTTTTGTAGGCCTAGAACATTTAATTCTATAAAATTTTCTCCTTTTCAGGTGTGAAAAAATGTACGAAGACAGATCACTTCATAGATGGAAAAGCTTTACATGTAGAGGCTTTCTTTCCTTTTATGGGCACACTACTGCCTGTCAACGAACCGTCAAAATCATCACGTCCTACTTCGGGTGAAGTGGGAGGATCTTGGCAGCCCCAGTTTTACAAGGCTGTTGATGAAGACATCGGGGAGTTTTTGATGAAGTCCAACCAAGAGGCCAAATTAAGAGGACTTCTTCATTCGAGTGAACATGCTTGTGTAAGGTGGACAAACGAAGAGGGATATCTGCTGATAAAATATGACACCTCAGGCAAAAGAGTTGACAAGGAGTTTGAGGAGGAAGCATGGAAAAAGAGATGTTTCGATATAATCGACCAATACATCGACGGTTGCACGACAAAAGAACTTTCAGTAGACACAGAGGTTTGGGAGGCAGTGGTTGATCAGTTACCAAAACTGGAAAAACTTCTTCCGAAGTTCACAGCGCAAGTGAAACTACTGAAGTTGTCTCACTCCGTAAAGTTGATTTGCCAGAAGTCAAACATGCCAGAGTTTGCTGACATCCTCGAAAGACGTTTGAAGGACATCAAACAGGAGGAACTCGAGAAAAAGCTAGATCAGAAGACGCTCACCGACATATCCACTGAAAAGCTACAACTTCTTCAAAATTGTGGGATCGAGAACATTTTGAAGGAGGAGTTTGATCAAGATATTCAACTTAAGATTGACTTGAGTAACAAGAACCTTCTAATTAAAACTCCCAAGGGACACATGCCATCCGTCATGACCTATCTTCGGCAGCGTTTGGACGAAATTGGTCAAAACGCAATATCGCAGCCCCCGGAAATTTTAGAAATCTTGAAGACAAAAGTCGGGAAACGAAAGATGACGCAGGAACTTCCCGATGGATGTGCTTTTAATGTCGATGAGAAAAGCAAAAAAGTTATCCTCCTTGGGAGAACACTTTCTCAAACCTGTGCGGGAAGACAAAAGGCAGAGACCGTTCTGTTAGATGACCGTAGTCTCAAGGTAACCCAGGCTGATAATGACCTCATGCTTTCACCAAAGTGGGATGAGCTTTGTAAGAAGTTAGTAAAACGTCTGACGATCCGTCATAAACGCGAATTGACTTGCATTGCCGTCTTTGGGTTCAAAAACGACGTTGAAGAGGCTGTAAAGAAAATGAGAGACTTTCGTAATGAAAAAAAATCAACCGAAGGTGAATTCAGGCTCGATTCTCCCATCAATCGAAAGTTCTTCACCGACTACTACAAGGAAGAACTTCAGAAAATTGAGGAAGAACTCGCCCCTTGTGCGGTGAAGATTTCTTTGGATGAAAGCGGTAATCGAATTAAGTATTCTGGAACAGACGACGGCGTAAAGGATGCTGAAGAACGGTTATATATTCTGCTTGACCAAATCAAAGAAAAGAGTCTCCCTATTCAAACACCTGGCATGAGAAACTTCTTGGCCCAAGATGTGGGAAAAGGCTTTGTTGACACCGTGGAGCGAGAAAACAAGTGTATCATCAGGATTGCGGAGGAAATTGAGGAAGAAGTTGAGGACGAAATGGAAGGAAGTGACGGTGATGAGCTTTCGAACACTTGCAGCAGAGGCGAGGAGGAGCTTGATGATGCTGACACATTTTTGACTAACGAGGGCAAAAAGGTGATCTGGAAGAGTGGAAATATCGAGGAAGAGCAGGTGGGTAGTCTCATAGATATAAATGCATCAAACAATAAAAGTTTACGTCTTCAGTTGATTCAAATGGACAGCTATCATCGTAGGTACATTAGTGAAATGAAGTTGTCAAGTTTAACCCTTTCTCGTACTACTGATAACTAAAACCTCTCAATGTTTTCATTTGGAGTGGGCCACTGAGAAAGTATCTCAATAGATCCGAAAGGAACTATGTCTTTTTTTCATTTCCATTTTTACCTTCTCCAAATAAAGACACAGATATGCACTCGATAAAGCCTGCAACTTAATGTTTAAACATGCTTTGCTACAGGCAGACGTCTTGGTGTGCTCTGTGGGATCGAAATTTAATCTTACGGTCGGTGCAATTGCCAATGCCATTAGCAAAGCTGCAGGTCCGGAGCTGCAAGGGGAGTTAAGACAGAAGACGATAGGAAGGACTTGGGGTGAAGGTGATATTGTCCACACTAAAGCAGGACACCTGAATTGCCGTTACGTCATCCACTGTGTGTGTTGTCCTTGGAAAGGAAATCCTCAGGACGAGCAGGTACGGGAATGACTTTGACTTTAATGCTACTTTGAGCATTGGCTAAAACTTAGCCACGCTGTAGAAATTGTATTCTTGGTTTTATCCTGATGCAGTTTGCTTCACTGCCATACTTCCAGCACAAATCGTCTCGTCCCACTCATTTTTTAAAAATTCTTTTGATCATAGCTTCTACAGGATCTACTGCGAAAGTGTTTTGACAAAGCTTCGGAGCTTGGTGCATGTTCTATTGGCCTACCACTTGTTGGAACCGGTAATCTTGGTTTTCCTTACGCCAGAGCTGTCCAGATTATGATCCAGGCAGCTGTCGAATACAGTCACGCCAATCCAGATTCTCCCTTGGAGGAAATAAGATTTGTCGTGTTTAGCGGTGATCAGAAAGGAATAGGAACGTTCGAAGAACAATTTGAAGAGTTTAAGAAGGAAAAAAGACCTGACGTGAAACCTCGAAAGCCACAGGTTCGCCGAAGCAAACTTAAACCTGTTCCACCTGACTTTAAATGCAAAGAGATTCAAATCGGCGAGCTATCGTTGAAGGTGTTGAAAGGAGACATAACCCAGGATAGATCAGATGCCATATGTAACGTAGTAACTCAAGATCTGAAAATGAATAGTGGAACCCTAAGCAGCGCTATCCTTGCAGCAAGTGGAAACACTGTAGAAGACGAGTTACAGTCAAAGGCACCTCAGGTCCCAGGAGATATCGTGACTACTTCAGGCGGCTGCTTGTCTGCAATGCACATCATTCATATGGTTGTGGGACCAGGAACGAAGAAACATCTTCAAACTTGCGTGGAGAAGGCGCTCAAAGAAGTGGATTCTGTGGGTTTGAGGTCAGTGTCCATTCCAGCAGTTGGTAGCGGAGGACTAGGACATACAGCTGAGCAATCGGCAGAGGTGGTTTTTGGGGCAATCCGTGCATGCACCGTGAAACCATTTAATTCCATTCGTGAGGTCAGAGTAGTTGTTTTTGATATTTCTATCATTGGTGCGTACTTAGCGGAGCTGGAAGCAATCCAAAAAGAAGCCTCCGAATCCTCTTCATGTGCTGAAGAAGAAGATGATCTCACCTATCACGAAACAGGTGCAGAATCTTCCACTGTGGAATTAAGAAGAAAACATCGTCGCCAGAAGATCATCTTTCACGGCCGCCTGGAGTCTTTTGATGCGGTTGATACTGCCTTGAAAGAAGGGGTAATGAAAGCTTGCGGTGATCCTCGTGTAATCAAGCACGAAGTGATCGGTCGTCTTTCCAAAGGAAGTATGCGAGAGCTGAAGAAAATGTCTCGTATGCGAGATGTAAAATTGGATCAACCAGAACCTGGGACTATAATATTGCAAGGGCTCCCGAAAGATGTAATGGAAATCAACTCAGAACTATCAAATGTGATCCAAGAGCACGTGGAAAGGGAGCATAAGCAGGAGCTGGCGGAGCAGATGTCGAAAACTGTGCAATGGTACCTGGTCAATACAGGAGGAAAACTCGTTCCTTTCGACAAGATGGCCAACAATGAGATAGAATCAGCCTGTAAAGCAAAGAAACCATCCCTTCTATTCACGCATCAGAACTTGAAGGCTGAAATCAATTTCGGAAATGAAGAGGTAACGTTCCTAAGAACCGGAGCAATCAAAAGGGTCCTGCGCAGAGATGGTAAGCACAGTAAAATAAACGTTAATTTTTTCCTGTCATCATCATTTTAGATGCGCAAATGAAAGTCGTTCAATTTTTTTTTATGTTTAGAATGCATAGCATAATTCTTTCAGGATGTCTCCGCCTTTGTGAAAGTAGTCGTTCTGGTACAGAAAGCAATCTATTTTCTACGGTAATCCTCAAGAGCTCATCTTTCAAAGCTGCTTACAGACATCTCGAGTACTGATCTCTAGAGTTGTTTAACCTTCAAATTCTGCTCTTTGTTTTTCAAGCGTAGTTAATCTGGCCAGCTTGTAATAAACAAACTAATTGTCAGAGTTACGCCAGTATTCGCAGGTAGTCAGACTGAACAAAATCGTACAAAGGAGTGAGAATCCTCCAGTCATAGTTTACCTGATTTGAATCCCTCTCTACGCTTTTAAGTCAAGCTACGTTAAGTACTTCTTTTCTTACCTGTTTTAAGGCCAATGTCATATTATTTTTAAAATCAATATGATTGGCTAGAGTCTTCCGGCACAATTTACAGATCAAGTGTCTTATTCGATTTTACCCAAATGACTGTGCGTCCCGCGACAAATCGAAAACAGAGCGTTTGGAAACTGATTTCGTGGTGAACAAAATTTCTCTTGGGAGAGGGAATTGTAATGCAAGTTGTCGGTCGCAATGAGACTGTTATATTTTTTTTTAAACCAGTGCTGCCTCTTCCTGATGAATGGGATCCCCAGCCTCGAGGTGTCAATGGAAAGGAAGAGACACTACATCTGGTCAGCCTTGAGAAGGACTCCAAAGAGTATGAAAAGGTCCAAGAGAAGTTCCTCCAAACGATGAGTGGTAAGGCGGTAATAACAAACATTGAGCGCATTCAAAATCCATCGATGCATAATTCCTATATGGTGAGGAAGCAAATTATGGATGCAAAGAATGGAACCATCGACAACGAACTGGAACTTTTCCATGGGACAAAGGCAGAAAGCATCAAAGCGATCAATGTTCAGGGATTTGATAGGAGTTTATGTGGTGCGAACGGTACGTATATGATGGGAACAAATTTTCTCCATTTTGAAAACTCATCGGCGCAAGACGCCAAGCCGATACTATGTTTGCATGGTAAAGGTGTGGTTGTATTGATACCTAGTAGCGCAGTTAGATGACGCGTTTTCTGTATTCATAAATTCACTCCCTGTGATGGTAACACCAATGGCAATTCAAAAAAGGTGATAATTTAACTAGGTTCGTCAGTTCTGTGTTGAACAGAGCGAAAGTATTGCAGGGTTTCGCACGAATAAAATGTCAAGTCATTGTTATCAACCGATATAAAAACTCATCGAAAGCCACATCTTTTGACCCCATGATCCATTGCTGCCAACAATTTGCTGTTAATAATTTTGATTCACTTTTTTACAGGTAACGCTTATGGCGATGGTGTTTACTTCGCAAAAGATGCTTCCTATTCCAAAACATACTCAAAACCAGGCCCAAATGGTGATTGCCTCATGTATTTAGCCAGAGTTTTGGTTGGAAAATACACCGAGGGCGAGCAAGGGTGGAAAAAACCTCCCCCCAAGGACCTCAGCAAGCCAGAGATACTCTTCGACTCGCTGGTAAACAGAGAGGAAAATCCAACCATTTTCGTGGTTTTCAACGATTTCCATGTGTACCCTACATACTTAATTAGTTTTAAGAAATGGGAATTATCTTGATGGGAATAATCCAGCACACTTTTTTTCATGAAATAGACCGTCCTTTAATTCAGGGAATAACCAGCGTGGGATGTTTCTCAATCACGAGTTAAGGCGTGTTACTTTACAACCCATAGAGTCATCTACGGTCGTAAGTCCAAATTTTTTCGGCTTGATGGGTTACTACTACCATTTTGTATAATTATGGGGCTACGCTCTGCGAGATCCGCTATAAATAGATAGATAGATGACCTTTTTTATACACGATAATATTTTAAGCTGCAAGCTTGTGGGATCGCATGAAGAAAAGGGAAAATTACATGTTATGTTAATACAACTTGAATTTAAAAATAGACAATTATATATATTATAACTTATAAGTAAAAAGCGGTATGTATAAGGCGAGCAGTTCAAGTGGAAAGTGTGTCAAATTTGAATTCCCTAGCAGGCCTTTTTTTTAGATCATTGGGACTCGAGCGTCCAACTTCTTGTTCATAGTAGCAAACAGTGTTCCATAACACAGCGCCCCGATATTTAAGCGAGTCTTTCATGTATCTTGTTTGGAACTTGGGTGCTTTTAAAAGGTCGCTCCCCTCAGAGAGTAACCATTTGAGCGACATTTAAGGATGTTTTTATACAGTGCGTCGGGAAGATTGGCATTATAGCCTTTGTGAAAAAGCTTGAAGATGTCTAATTTATAATACCAAGAAAGTGTAGGCCACTAGTCTTGTCTAGCTAAGCATGTCAAATGATGTCATATCTTTAGGTAGATTAAATATAATTCTTGCTGCCCTGCGGTGTACTCTCTCTATTGAACCTGATATATCAGAATTACTACAAGATCCCAACAGAACTAAAGCATATTTTACAGAAGTCAAAATTACTTTAAAATAAAATTATTTCCATGCGGCCCTTAGGAGAAATTTTCAGTTTGCCTTTTTGGTTTTCCATTACCTGCGGTACCCAGCTGAGTTTCTGGTCAGCTGTCAAGCCCAGCAAGCGTGTTTTCGCAACCCACATAAGAATTGAGCTTCCTGATGGCACAGGAGCTATCGGTCTAATCGGGGTTCCTTTGCCTGGATGAAGTGTTATTTTTTACCAACCTGGTGCAATGTCCTTATAGATGTGCGGGCCAAAAGAATTTATTTTGCTGTAGGGGAGCCTTATAAATGATTTGATACTTTCACTTGTTAAACGTCCTCTGGAAAGTTTGATAGTTTGTTTGGTCTACGATTTTGCGTAGCTTATGGCTGGTCATTATCAGCCGAAAGAGTTTAAGGGCTGAATTACAAAAAACTGGTAATCAAACTGTCACTGTCACTTATTAAGAAAAACGGCATCATTTTTAGAGGAAATCCAACATTGAAAAGGTTATAAAACAATTTCTCTATACATTTGTTTAGCATTCATCGAGACATGAAGCAGTAGGAAGTTTAGCTGTGGCTCCACGAACTGTCAAGCATCTATCTTGCCCTCCACACTTCCCGCGTGGCTCATATCTCGATGGGTACACAGTTGATTTGTGGACCAATAAACCTATTTAGCTTCGGTTTGTATGTTATGTTTATCCTGGTCAGATCTCTACGTAGTTCCCGGCTTTTTTGTAAATTACGCGTACGTGTGCAAATGAGCAAGACGAAACTTGAAATAAACAGTTCCTTAGAGTATTACCTGAATGGAACTCCATCTATTTGCTCATGGTCGCCAACAGCTACATTTTTTTTATTTTATGTCTCTGCCTGGCAAAACATTTGTTCATTTTATCTTAATTATCTTTTTTTCTTTTTCATCGTGGTCCGAGTGAGCCTTCAACGTAGCTCAGCAAATGATAAATGTCCTCTTCCTCCTCTGAAAACCCTGTAATAACTCTATCTAGATGTTGAAACAAGTCGTTCTTCTTTTTATCCAATTTCCGAAGAAAAGAGTCAACGACATCCTCCTGAAATCTTACGTTCTTTCTACCTTTGCCCTTTCTTTGTTCGTTATAGTTGATACTTCTTATCGCTTTTAACATTCTGCTTGTCTTATCAAAGAATGATTTTCTCTCCACGTTGCTTGGTGTTTTCTCTGCTTTTATTTCCCTTAAAACCCACATCTCGCTAACCTTGATATCAAAGTTCATTTTTGAACTTTTCTCGAAATCAAGGCTAACATTTGAAGTGCTTTTTTTCTCCATCTCGTCTAGCGTTCGTGAGGCCTTCGACTGTCGCAGCTTGTGACTGATCACATCGAAAAATGCTTTTCTTTCCTTTGAGCTTATGCAAGGATCTTTATTAACAAGTTCGTGCAGTACACTTTGGCCAGCGGTGTGCTTTGCTTCCAGAAGTGCATCGTTTATCATACCGATGAAAAAATTCATGCAGACGATAGTAAGGGTTGAAAGAATTAAGAAGGAGAAGATTTTGGCGTATATGTTGTGAGTCTCGGACAGTTCATTGATTGGTCTAGCTTTCACTCGCCCTAGAGTTAGCTCGAGTTGGAAATAAGTTGCTTTAAGCACCGAAGAATAGCGCTCAAATCCAGTGCCAAACATCAAAACACCGAAGTGCAGAAATGCAATAAAGAAAGTCAATAGAACAATGCTAAACGATGACAAGGATCGCGCTGATATCTTCAATACTTTGGAGAATACAATAACTTGACTATTCAACCGAATGATTCTCAAGAGCTTTACAGTGACGATAAAAATTAGGACTCCAAGTGCAGCATTGTCTGCTTCCTGCCAAATTATAGCTTCTTGGAAACTGATGTTTGCGTCAATGTTTTCTTGCAACTTTCCCGTCGCTGTATTTACTCTACGTTGTCGTATAAGGTAAATTACAACGGCTAACACAGAAAAAACAACTTGGAGCATCTCCACCCAATGCCACACGGACTGGAAATAACGAGAGCGATGACTATAAATTCTGAAAATCTCTCTTCCAAAATGCAGAATAACGAGTAAAATAAATAGAAAAAGGCAGATCGAGTAAAACTGAAGTGAAGCTGTATCCGAAGAATCACGAGAAATGACATCAATTTGTGTCGAGGCGACTTTGAATCCCGACGCCTCAACTTCGTAGAAGTATGTGGCAACACCTAAAATATTCACTGAGGGATTAAACGAGGAAAACTCTGCGACGACAACTCTCGTTTGCTTGTCTAGCCAACAACTTTTTTTTAAATTTGTTATTATGCGATGTCCTGTTTGGTTGTCGTTCCCAAGATCTGCTATAAATCCTTCTCCGTGATAAAATGACAACTGTCCCCACTTTGCTACGGTGTCGGTTTCCTTCGCACTTTGATATCGCCATGCCTTCGGGCAAAGTCGTGGCAATTCGTCGTTACTCGTGGAGTTATCAACAGGCTTCCATCCCGGCTTAAAGCAGGCGGTCTTGTCTTCGTCTGTGTTAGAATACCCTTTGTAGCATTCTTTAAACATTGCAATGGTACACGAAGCTGCAATTTTGACAAAAATGGATAGTACCAGAAGGTTATTTTGAGATTCATTGTATGTGCTGGTACGCCGCAATTCGTTATCAAAAACGGAGACATGCCCACTTCTGTTGTGCGCAACAAAACGTTTGAAAAGCGCAAAGGAGAAAATTTCATACTAACGTTTGCCTTAACGTACCATCTTTTTTTAAGTATGGTCGCCTCTTTTGGGCCGTTCCCCATGACTTTCGCCGGCGTGGGATTTAACTCCCGATTTTGATTAAGGGCAAGTATTTCCTTCCTGACATAGGAATTCAGGACAATCAACAACGAAACCATTTAAAAAAACAATTATTTAAGTGGTCTGGTTCCGAGATATTTTTTTCACTTGTGCTCTGCCTTTTCTCCATACAAAGTTGACGAGACTGAAAAACTTAACTTTAAAGTTTGGATACAGGTAACTCTCTGTTGAGATAAGTCTTCGTGTTTGCCGAAGCATCTCTAATAGTAAATAGTTTCAAAGCTGACATTTCGAGCGTTAGCCCCCCGCTAACTTCACTAACGAAAGGCTAACATTCGAAACGTCAGCTTTCAAACTCTCTACGGTGGCCAATTAATGTTAACAACTCACTTGATGATACTAAATTACCCTGTTATACTCTCCCACCGACGCAGCACCACAGTTACCTTATAAACTTACCCCATTTATTCATTCACCTCACACAGTGTTAGCAATACATGTATCGGGTAAAATGGTGTGTAACCCTTGATAGATATTTAATTTGCCTTGTTATTAAAAGTACAGAATAGGAAAAGACTTACTCGATTTCACTCTGAGTTGCCTTATTCGAGGCATTCCAACAAGAAGAGAATGTTTATTTCCAATGTACGTTGTTTGTTTCTCCTCTTGACCGTTGTACCATCTGCCAGAAAACACTCCAGGAATAAAATTATCTTGCAACCAGCTCCAGTACATCTTGTCGTCTGCCACCTAAATTGATTCAAAATCAAAAAGTCAATTGAACTTTGTGACTGTATCAGTATGGATAGACAATCGAAAGAAAGAGGTACTCGTGCGAATTGAAATTAATCAGCACGTGGTAAACGAATGTTTATACACGTGCGCCCTACATCGTTTTCTTGAATTGGTCGCCTTTTGGCACGTATGTGCGGACAATATTTTGTTAAGAATGCAAAATATAGTTTTGCCCGTTCGTGAAAAACGATACGCAACATACTTCCCTTCTTGAGCCAGAAAAGTTTAATCTTCCACCATTTTTTTATCTTACGAATCCAATTCAGAGAATGCTGCAAGAGAGGTTAATCCTGAGCACAACTTTAGAGTAAATTCCTTTTTAAATAAGTTCATAGCCAAGCAAACTTTACTCACATTACTAAAGTTTGGCAAGCCATCTCGGATTGATTTTGTCATCAGGTACCGATGGTCATTTTTGTTTCCATAGCACACTACCATCAGCAAGAAAACGAAGACCAAGTAGATACCCAACTCTGCGAAATAACGTGACAGGTTCTCTTTCTTGGCTTGGCTTCTTCTCATCTTTTCCACATCTGACAATTTCAGCTTCCAAAATCTTTCTTTCGAGCTGCTACTTTTACCTTGATTAGAATTTTCGCATTCTAGTACCTCTGATCTTTTAGCCTTTATTTTGAAAATGGCTGCGAGGATCAAAGCTGTAAAGAACAATTTTACTGGTTCCGTTAAGGTCACATCCTGCGCAAGTGAGACGAACACTGAGAAAAGCCACTGCTCGCTAACAGTCTTTTCCCAAATCAAGCTGTAGAAGACTGTAAATGTGGCAGAAACACAACAAGAAAAAAATAACCCGAACCAGGCGATACAATGGATTACAGCAGCTTTAAAACAATGGTTATCGTTACTTCTGGACCTTTCGGCTCCTTTTTGAAACAAGAACACTAAGAGTATGTTTATGGGTGCCACAATAAGCGCACTTTTAATACCAGTAACAACTTGTCTCCACGAGAATTTCAACGGTCCAACTTGGATAGGCTGTTCATATTTGCCATCTAGCTTATAGAACATCGCGTTAGCTAACATAGATGCCAGTAGCAATGAAAAGCAGCAAGAAACCCGCTGTACTCTTGTAAAGCGGCTTCTTATTGGCTTGGCTGCAACTGAAATCCAAAGATGCGACTGTGCGAGGCCTCTCCGCCATAGTCTTGCAACCTCGCTGCTGAAATCTAATTGAGTTGCAGTTGAGTCAAACATTCGCTCAATACGCCCATCTCTGCGCTCAAGAGCGAACCACTGACCGACTATGAATTTCCACGACTGATCAGATTGTACGTCACGGATAAAAATTTCCTCTAAAAACCAGGAGGGACTGTCACCAGAGTTATCATGACCAATCCGCACTTCTTGTATTGCACCAAGTGAGTTGTTAACATTAAGTACAAAGAGGTCTGAATTACCTCGAGAGAATAACATATCATCTGCACCAAGCTCTCCCTGGCAAAGCCGAAGAATGCCACTATTTCCATCAGAACCGTAAATCTCCATGGAAACTTGAGCAGTTGTGCCAGAGTTCTTCCAGACCCCTGTAGTGATCACTATTTCGTACTCGTATGTACAGTTTGGTGGGGCTGGAAGTTGTGTTGGAAGACCAAGCTTAATAAAAAGGAAAAAAGCCTGTTAGAGATATCTTTCACGTTATTAATCACTAGCTGATCCGCTTTTTTTTCCCTTTTTTGTGGAGGGGGGGTGGGGGACGATAAGATACAAATAAGATTAGGAGATGTAGTAGTGTAGTTTGATCGTCCGGGTGAGTGTAGTCCTGAGAAGGACTGTTGTCGGTAATGGTGACTGACGTCTCGACAACCTGAGCGGAAGTCATCATCAGAGCAAAGTGAAGGGTTGTTGTCAGTCGCATGTACTTAGTCCGGTTTTTATAAACTTATTGGTCAGTTTGGCGTGATATTATTGGCGGTAAGACTCAAGTGGCGTAGGTCAGTCGTGATTGGTCGGTTTCGATCCATTAGTGAAGTTAGGTCGTTCTGTTCGGTTCGTTTGTAATGTTAATGTCGTGAATGAGTCGTTTGTATGGTGCCGGTAGTGGTTGACACCTGTTGAGGGGAGTCTGTTCCAAGTTAGTAAACCAACTTTCCAGGGTCAGTCGTTGAAAGTAGTTGGTGCTGTAGGTTAGGCATTGCGCAGAGTCCCAGTAAATAGTGTGATGTTCAGCAATGTAATTGTTGATATCGCCTTTCCTCGTCGCTCGTTTGTGTTCAGTCAGTCTAGTTGTGAGGCTTCTGCCGGTCTCACCGATGTAGGAGGCGTGTCAGCCAATAACATCACGGTAAAACTGACCAATCAGTTTATACAAACCGGACTAAGTACATTCGACTGACAACAACCTTTCACTTTACTCTGATGATGACTTCCGCTCAGGTTGTCGAAACGTCAGTCACCATTACCGTCAACAGTCCTTCTCAGGGCTACACTCACCCAGACGATCAAACTGCACTATTACATGTTACCCTCGGGTTAAAACCATTTACTGTTAGATAAGAAGAGCTTCAGAATGCTGGGAAACTCCAAGATTCCAAAGTGAACAATTTACTTGTGCTGCAACTGAAGAACAGGTTTCAGGCCTTGGTGAGCATGGAGGATCTCATGCAGTCTGAAACACACGACGCCTTGCGGCGCAAAAGAGCTGAAAGCCTGAAACCGCATGTGAGGCACCATTATCAAGCTGACCCGGAGGAGACGGGAATGTAGGACCTTCGTTGCTTCTCTATGTTACAGCCAGTATAATGGGCAGGAACTACAAGCCACTACTCGCCAAATGCTCTTTTCTCACTCGCCAGCTACTTTCCAAATGTACGATAGTTTTTGGAGAATATTTTAAAATGTATGTGACCTCAAACAAATCTATATGTATTTTTCTAAATGGAGAACTCACTCAATGAACCGATACAAAAAAAAGACCTTGTTTTCATACTCACATCTCTTCCGTCGCGTTTGTCAGTTTTCCTAACAATAATGAGCGCGATCGTATAACAGAAGGCGATCGTAGCTAACGTCACAATAACTGCAATATTTCCAGTCTCTGGTAATCTATTAAACTCCTCTTGAACCTTGTCAAAGTCGATAGGATTCGGTTTAATTAAGAGACTTCCTCCAAATGCTGTCAGATGGTTACAACTGCAGTTTATAAAACCATCTGTTGCAGCTAAAACCTGCAAATATTCACAAAAACAGAATGCTTTGGTTCTCATATCTTTCTGATCATACTGTTGGCACCAGAAATGGTAATCAAGTTTACTGCATTTTACTATAAAGAATAACTATTTGAGTTAAAAGTAGTTGTCATCGCCATTTTTCCAATGAAACGAACATCATCATATTATCATCAACACATATATTTGTCCAAGATTACACACCGATCCATGAAGTCCATGAATTGTGTAGATATTATTGTAAACTTTCAAACAGATTAACCAATGATTCAAATAACTAAACACCCACCCGACAGCCAGTTGTTATCCACATCTCATGCTTATCCGACCAGAACACACAGCTTCCTAAAGCCACCTTAAGAGTATAGTTCTGATATGTTTTGGAGTCATAAACTGCGCTACTGACTGGAGTGTCTTTGACTACGACGCTCAGGAAACCAAGATAGTACTTTCCCGGACGTTTAGCTAAAGCTTCTATCGGCGTAAGTGGATTCAAAAAGCACTCCGTTTCTCCTTCTTTTTTGCCTTGCGCAGTTGGCTTCCACACGCAATTACCGCTATGGGAGATAGTAGCATTGAGGTCATATTCTTGGGTCGTTGGCCGCTGACCAAAGCGCATGTAAACAAGGAGATTTACAGTTGGATCTTGCGGTAAAATTTCCAGTATCAGTAGGGTATTTTTGTGCGTGACATTTATCTCGTGGAAACGTATCTCATCTTTCTTTATAAAATACCATGACTTCTCCTTGGAAGGTGTTTGTGGTTTTAACGGCACGGCAATGACAATTTCTTCGTCTAGACTTGATACTTCCAACATTTCGCTGTTGTCGTTTTTCAAGTTCAGGACTAGAACATCAGAGTTGACTCGCTCTTTTGTACTGTGCCAAGTGTATGGGTTGAACGAAATAGACACCATCTACAATCGGTTGGAATACATCAAGTCATTCTTGTTGACAGAATAGTATTGAATTATCAAGTATAGCGGTTGTTTAATTCATGTCATGATAGTCACCAAAGTCCTCAAATCAGTTGTAAAAAAAATCGTGTATGACTTAGAAAAGGGAAGCTCTCTGCGAATCCTAGTGAAAATTTAAACGAGTTCATACTCATTCATGTAAGATCAACTTGGTGTTAACAAGATTGGTAAAAGGCTTCTTGCGAGCGAGATCCAGAATATTGCACAATGTGCTCTTACCTGAATATCAACGAAACGTGTTCCGTTATTTTTGGGAACTAGTTCTGTTCTGTTCGGCGGGAAAATGAACCGACCATTTCCTCCTTTTATCTCCAACCCTGCAAGTCTCTCAGGGGTGTGTCGCCCTAATGTCATGGACAGTTCTCTCGTTGTGATCGATGTCATATTTTCATCCGGCACCTTCAGAGCCAGCACTGCGGCCGAAACTTCACCAAGGACCTTCATAGAAGTATTTACCAATGATTTACCCTGTACGAAATATCAAAGAACAAAAGCAACTTAATCAAATCTAAAACAAATATATTATAGGTGATGAAATGCTTCCAGTAAAGACGTCCATGCTTTAGAGCGAACGCTAAGTCATCACTGCATTAGACCTTACGCCTTTGATTGCTAGATCTAAAGGACGATAAGTCCTCTTATGCCATCGGCATTGCTGAGAAAGACATTTATACCGTTGTTAAGAAGAAAGTACCAGACTGGCGTGTTGTGCAATTAGCGCGTGCGCGCTGAGACATTTAGCGTTAATCAGTCGTAAGCAAGTTACGCTTACGATTTCTCGCGTGTGTGTTGTCGTAGTTTTAGTCGCAATTTTAGCTGCATTTAGTCGCAATTAATTGCAGTTTTAGCGGCAGTTTTAGTCGGATTTGGGAGATTTTCGTTATCGCTCCCAAACAACCGTAATCAAATGTATAGTATCATTTAAAAACAATTATAAGAATTCTTTCTGGTAGCAAATTCTCCTGATTACAATCATTGTGGTCGGCCAACACTGATTACAACTTTGTTGTACAATTTCAAAATAATCCTTTCACAAGCCAAACTTTTTATTGTGTTAACCGATGATTGATACACGGCAGGAAGGCATGGCCAGATGTACAGTGAGTTCATCTCTCAATGAAAACCTTTTGAAATGTGTCTTCACTCGCTTACATAGCTAACGTAGACTAAACGTCATAAGCTGACATAAATACGTCTTATAGTTTCGAAAACCTATCTGATTGATACCTGTTCCTGGATATTTAAACTTTCATGACTTGACGCACTCACTGCTCCTGCTTTTACCACGTTTTCAAGACACAAAGCTAAGTTGTGTGCAGATTGAGGTACCAGAGGAATTTCAGCTACGTTTTTAGAATAGGAAGTCCTCCAGAGAAGTGAGGTCATCGAGCGAATAGCAGTCAGGGATGATTCCTGTTAAGTGTTAATTATAAGTGCGACAAGACGTTTATATTCGATTATTTTTTACCACTACAGGATGTGCCGATTGTTCAGTTGGTTTTGCACCCTTACACTACACATATGAATTCAACAAATAAACAGCGTTTTTTTCTTAAAGAAACACTAAAACAACAATTAATTGCATAAATGGCCATTTTATCCTTTTTTCCACGATGAAGAGGGACTTTCGATCGATTATCGCCTCTTTTCGACAGTTATAATGCAAGTCCCCGTAAGGCTTTGAGGTCGAATGAGGAATTACGCCTCGCCATAATTGGGGATGTAATGCACTGTCACCTTTGGGTTTTGGTTGTATGCTATCGAGGTAAAAGTTACCCTCTCACCAAATTGATTCTATTCAATCAGACCAGAGTTGAACTGACTATTCAGAGTTAAAACCAGCACCAGAATTCGAAAGTGTCATTTAGACGCTATTATTTTTACGAACGAAACCTTGAATATATCCTTCAGGGAATTGAACATGAAACTACTGAAGACAGCCCACTGCTTCCAAATGCATTATGAGCTGCTCATAACAATTAACTCACCAGTGACTTGTGAGACACTTTCTTCGCCACCCGTAGAGCAGAAAAAATCACAGAGGAGCTTTGGAGCAGCGCTGAGATGCTTTTCACTTTCAGCGAGACAATCCTCTTGATGACTAAATCTTGAATCTGCAAGCACAAGAAGATTTGTACGTTTCAGTGTCTTGAGTTATAAACTGAATCTACAATGTGTGACAAATGTGTTGATATATTTAAATCACACATGGGGAATCATCACTGAGATGGCTCGGAACAAACAGGAGTAGAGGAGCTTTACTGTTGTCATATTTGCTAGCCAGTGTAATGAGCAGTAGTAACTAACTACAACTTATATGTAAATTGCGTACTATTGTAAGCTTTGCTTACCCTAGCTTTATCTTGTGAATCCATTTTAGTATCAGTTGAAATAATTTGGAGAACAGAGTTTGCTATTTGTGCAGCTTTATCCAAGTCTCCATTGTTAATGGCTTCATTAAATGAGCTGTCATTTGCTGTGAGAATGCCAGAGACGTTTTTTATTCCCAAAGACTGTGGAGGCTTAACCTAAGGAAAATCAAAGACCAACTTCAGTCTTCTCATATGTTTATTATTCGATGATTTGAGTCAAATTAAACGGGTTTTGGAAAGACGATTGATAAAATGCCCTGATGCTAGTTTGCCGAATTTGACCAAGAACAACTTGGCTCTAAACCGATCAGATGCCAAACGAAAAACTTGGTCTTTAATCACAGTTCGTAACCATACATCGAACAAAAGTACAAAGATGGTTGACAGGACGGTAGTAGGGGGAAACTAAATTCCCATGCTAAGACATACCCTCCAAAAATAAAAATAAAAAATAAAAAAAATTTTAAAAAAACTGGTGTTTGGGGTAATTATGAGCGGAGGTACTTAATTAGTGAAGCTTTAAAAGACTGAAGGCTAGGGGATGACATTACTTCAGAAGGCAAACAGTTCCAATCGTTAATATATCTATTAAAAAAAGAATATTTAAAATAATTTGTACGAGCAACTTTAGGCCTTATTTTATACTCACGCTTACTTCTAGTTCGAGTTATTCCAATAACATGAAAGTAATAATGGAGTTGATATCACAGTGACCAAATATAATCTTATACATTTGAACTAGGCTAAGGTATTGCCTTCTCAGTTCTAAAGAGTCCCATTTTAACTCTAGAAGTCTTTCAGGATATTCTTTGTCTGGGCCACATATTAGTCGGGACGCTCTTCTATGGTCGCCCGTGTTTTCCTGCGCTACTGATAGTTTGCCTGTTTTTACTTTAGGTCTTCATTGGTAATAATCACGTAGACCTTTGCTATGAGTGGCTTTCAATTGAAAACTGCGCTATCAGAAATTAACAGCCTACCTTGACCAATAGGTAAACGGCAGGGGCAGACGCACCGACTTTATCAGTCACTGTAAGAATGAGCTTTATAGAATAGTCTGTTAAAATGTCGCCGGACGGTAGCCAAGAAATAACACTGTTGTTCAAGCCTTGATATAGCATGCAGCGCGCACCATTCTCTAGTTGATAATGAAATTTGTAGGACAGAGGATTCTGATCACTTTTCCAGTCAATACAAGTCAGGTTGAAATCGGTTTTTAGTGAGATGCCGCTTGACGGATTTATCCCACATATCCCCCCTGTAGGGGGCAACGCGGTGGTGAAGTCGTAAGCACTCATCCCTTGTAAACCGTCTCTAGTTGTCGCGAATATTTTCAAGCGGTAGTTCTCTCCACCAGTAAGGGATCCTTCCTTGATTACTATGTAGCTTGAACCGAGCGGCGTATCGGTGATAGGCTGTAAATCTTGCTTCCTCCATACAACTGACGAATTGCACCTGTAGAGCTTGTAGAGAATCCATTCATAGGAAGATATTTCAGAGCACTGTGATCCCTGGCATTCTGCCTGGACACTGAGCTTAACTGACGGACTGACGACCTTGAGTTCGTGGTTTATAAGGAAACTGAAAATATAAGAACATTGAAAAACAAAGATCATAAATGATTGTTACTTTGTAATTTGTGAGACAGGCACGTTCCCTGCTGAGTAGCTGAGCGTGGAAGTGAACCATAAACGACTTCGGACGTATCTTTTGACAGAGACAGAGAAGCTGAAATTATGCAAATTTTCCTTCAGTGATCCGATGAGAACTTAAGGTCTTGCAGAGACAATTAAGGTTCAATTTCCACCTTTAATCTGAAAAAAGGGCGATAAAAAAGGAAAAATTAAAACAACCAAAGAGAAAAAACTCGTACCTTTGGGATATTTGAAAGGGGTTAAAATTCTTCATATGGATGATTTGATAAGCGCTTGCGTTGCGACAGTCCTTGGTCACGACCAGTTTCACTGTGTATGTCTTGTTTGGAGACATGGCTGAAGTATTTAAGATCATTTGTACACCAAAGGCGTTCCTAGAATAGTGGATCGTTGACTCGTTTACTCCTGTGAAGACATCTTTTGTTTTACAACCCCGTCCGGAGAGGTTACAATTGATCTCACCATAATACCAGGTAAAGCTCATTCCTGAGTGGTTGCCTTGTCCGACATCAGGGTCGTATGATAATGATGCGTTCATCATGATGGTTTCGTTGACTCCGCGGATTACTTCGTCGCCTCCGTAAATGGCCGCGACAAGATCCGGTTTCCTTTGGCAATACTTCTTACCTTAAACAGTAAAATTAAAGGCATTTACTATAAATAGCAGAATTGATTTTCTTTACGTTGTTATCTTTTCAGGGATGATTTCTTAAAATGAAGCATCATTTATCGCCATTTCGGGTAAAACTTGCTGTCTTCAGTTAGGAAAGAAGGACATACACACTTGCAGCTTTATCCATGGAAGACGCAAGGTCAAAACTGACAGATTGTGGGATCCAGAAAAAATAAATGTCGATCAAGAGGAGATTAAAACGATAAGGAACAGGATTCGACCCGGTCCTTTCCCATCTAAACTTCCTGTTCGAGTTTGCAACACTTCTTCTTTCGTTTCTTTCGTTTCTTTCGTAAGACCGTAACATTAAAAAAAAAAAACCACCCACACACATTCACACGCAAGTGCTCTACAAGTAGTCTAGCTTTGTGCTCATAGATTTAATCGAGCTGAAAAATCATTCATAATGTGCAGTGTTAAGGGCTATTTTTCTAATTTCTTATGTCCATCGTAAGACACATGATATTCTGCCTCAAATCCGCGATCAGCTGTTTTTCCCGAATAGAACCTCACGAACATTTCGTGTCCCTTAGACAATGTCTCATTCAGGATCGATCCATCACAAAATCGCGCTAGAAAAGGAGAGCTTGTTGAGCCACCATCGTAAAGCTCAACATAGGAGCAAGAATCCGAATTACAATTGGCTGCACATGGACTAAGGGCAAAGTCAGTGAAGGCAAACTTTATCTTTTGACTGGCAGATCCTGTTATTTTCCACGTACAATTGGTATACATGGTGTAGTTACTCATTGGGTAGTTCAGGCTGCTTATCTTTCCGCTACCAGAGAGAGGAATTACTTCCCTTGGACAAACTGGAATAAAAATATTTCCGTTGAAATAGCTGAGAGGAGAAAAAACCATTGCTATCATTCCTTCCTCTTTTGTTCCGGTCGAATGTCACTTGAAAGAGAAGGCACCTTAACAGATATTCTAAATGAGAGAGGCATTGAGGCCATTTAGAAACCGCAAAACCGTAGAGAAAATCATCCAACACCAAAAAACCGGAAAAAAATTCGATCAAAACCGAAAACCGCAAGCAAAACTGTCAAAACCGATACATTTTCACATTGCAGTTATTAAAACCCTGATCGATCCGAAACAGTGGTGACAGGTGGAGCATACAGAGTAAGCTACACTAATTTCATTACAGGATTTAAGAATGCCATGGACTTGGCATTCGTATCTTCTAGTAGCTGCTTAAATTAACAGATGCTGTCTCGAGGGCCTCGAGCGTGGTCTCTGCGGACACAGCAGCTGGTAATGGACCCCAGTTAAATTAAGGAAATCCGCACAAAAGTCCTCAATAGGATTGCAACTTTGCTGTCGCAAATACTGATAGCTCTGGAAAGTTTCATCGAAAATCCCTCATCTAATATTTCTATTTTCGAACTAAGACCTGAAAGTTTGGAGATTCCATTGAAATGTTAAATCAATCAGTCACATGTGGCCTGTAACTTGGTCACCAACTTCGAGGTGGCGTCGATAAAGAAACTCTGGCAATGTTCTGTGCCTAACGGTACCCTACGTGTAGGCTTACCCTCCCCTCCCCAGCTCACCTTGGGGGAGGGGGAGGGGGAGGGTACGGCTACACGCAGGCTACCTAGGGATCCCTGCGATATTTCAATTGGTTTGTCAAGCATTCCATTTGCGTTTAGCAGCTATTCGAGATCAGCAGTGGAGGCGCGTAATTGCCAAATAGGTCAAATAGGAAAAATCAAAACCGCATCACATAGCAAATCCGAAAACCCGTTAGTATTTTTCGCGAAAACCGAAAACCAAATGCTAAAAAACGGAAAATCTGCGAATCGCGATGAACACCAAAACCGAAAAAGCGAAGTTTTTGGCGTAGAAACTGAAAAAACTGAAAAACCGATCTAAAAAATAGTCAAACTGTAGAACCGAAATTCCCAATGCCCCCGTCCTTAATGGGATTAGCTAGCAAGGCAACCATCGGAAAAGCGACCCGTATATTTAAAATTTTTGCTTCATACTAACAATATAAAACAGCTCTTCTTTTATGGAGGTAGCCTTAGTCATCAGGCATATGATTTCTTAATAACATGTTCTTTTAACCACTTTCTTGAAAAATGGCTTTCACTATTCTATCTTAGTTAAATCTTTTTTTTTTTTTGCTCCTTTTGCAGTTATTCTCTTATTTTGATGCTGCATAAGCATGTTTCATGGAAAAGACGGACTGACGATCATATATATATGCTACTTACTCGGAGGACTGTGGTTCAACCGCTTGTAAGTTGCCCCAAGTCCGTCAAAATCCATGATTGTATCGTCGGACACAAACAGCACCCTCAAGCTTTCGTTGAGTGAATAACATTTTACAGGAATAAACCTTGGTGTGCCCAAAATCTCAATGCCCCCCTCCTTAATGGGATTAGCTAGCAAGGCAACCATCGGAAAAGCGACCCGTATGTCTCAAGTTTTTGCTTCATACTAACGATATAAAACAGCTCTTCTTTCATGGAGGCAGCCTTAATAATCAGGCATATGATTTCTTAAAAACATGTTCCCCTAACCCCAAATCACTTTCTTGAAAAATGGCGTTCTCTATTCTTAGT